GTCAATAAATGATGCATTGGAGTCCCGGGATTGGTTTTCACTAAATTAGGAATTTGGCCTTGTATCTATTTTGAGTACTCATAACATTGGTTACTATTATGGTTATTATTAATAAAGAAGAGTATTTGAGTTTCCGCTGCAAAGTATTGTTATTTATAGTAAGTTGAGTAAGCCTTGCGTAATCACGCGGCGGTAATACGCCTAAGTCTATCTTTACGATATAATTATACGGATAATACTAGTATTTCCGTAGTGGGAGATTTGGGGGTGTTATAGCCTGATCACTGATGCGACCTCCCTAACAAGCGCTAATAGGGATCTCACGAGGAGATGGTCTCGCCGGCGCTAGCGACGGAAAGTGCTCGTAGAACCAAATCTACAAAATACAGAAGAAGATTAGCGAATGCTAGTACGAATGTAGAGCTAACTTTAAAAAGGGATAAAGTATACCTCTACAATTCTCCAGAAGCTGGAGAGTGCCATGTTTCCTGTGAAAGCTCTGTGACAACAGGAGCCTCGCAAGCCCCGCAAGAAATAAACATAGGCCAAGCTGGCCCAGTTATAAGTCCCGACCAGCTGAAGGTCGCGGTGAGCAGGAAGGTAGTAGAGAAGTACTCGACTACCTTTGTCAGGAAAAAAAAGTCCCTGACAGCAAGATAAGAACAAAGATGCGCACCCGCTGCTCACTGGTGGTCGCATTATCCTCGAAAGCCATCGCCAGAGTAGACCGACGGATACACCGAGCGCTAAGTCGAGACAACTCAACATCGGCACGGGCCCAAACAGAAATCAGACCCAACAACTCCTCGACTATCAGAGAAAGGACAGAAATCGTACTGTCGAATGGCAGTGTAGTCGAGCAGAACTCCAGTCCCGAGATGAGACTGAAGTCGGCAGGGGTGACAGTCATCTCGCCCTAGGGAAAGTGAAAGGTGTTGGTGGTGTCCCAGAAGAACTCCGCCAAAGCACAAACCACGTGGTGGCTCGCGTCAAAAGAGTACATGGCCTGAGTGGCCTGAAGCAAGGCAGTCAGCCCACAAGACTCCCAAAGTTGTCGTAAGCAGTCAACCCACAAGACTCCCAAAGTCGTCGCAATCCCTCATCATTGCGGAAATACTTGTCGTACAAGTAGCCAATGGACACGTTGCCGGAGCCGTGGATACGCGTCCTCCCGCTAGTAATCCTGCGACGCACCCGCTCAGAAATGTGGTGCTCGGGAGCGAAAAACAAGGTCCGCTCATCCCACTCAGGGAAGGGACAAAGAGAGGTGGATGGATCCTCGCCCTCATCCACGGGCTTGTGCTCCCGTCGAGTGTCTCGAGACCGGTAACCAAAACTGCTTTGTCTAGCCATGCTACATTATGCAAATTAACAAAAATGAAGGCTCTATAGTGTCTAAGGTTTGCCTAGCTGCATGATACTATGTTCGCAAAAAAAGAGTACGTAGTGCTAAAACAGAGCACGATTTCAATTCAAGCATATATGGCATAGCAATCAAACAATTTCTTGCAATACTATGACAATTATTGTGACAAATTGGACAAGAATAGCTAGCAAAAACGCGAAGAAAAAGCCACATTGTTCTCACGGCCTTAAGGGGTTCAACAATGGTGAATTGTTCGTTTCTCCACTAAATTGAGTCAAACAAGTCTCAAAATACTTCCTAGGCAATATACAAACATAATAAAGCAATTTCATGGCATAAAATTCAACAAACAAAGCAAATTAAGCAAAATATATTTCGAATTTCCAGAAAATTCGTGAATTAACATGTCAAAATTCAGCAAAATTCGAGTGAGTTTGAAGAAAACTTACATAGATGTAGGCGTCGCTCGAAGTGCGCCTACGTTAAAAGCATGTTATGAATATGCTTGGCACTCATAGGAAGTGGGAATTGACATAATACGATTAGGGACAAATAAAGTAGGGAGCCGCCAACAAGTTTTTAAGGAACTTGTAAACCGTTCACGGATCATAAAAGGCAACCACGAATAAGGGACAACGAAGGCAACAACGATTGACCCGTGAAGGTTACACCCCATTCATAATCCATGAGATTACTAACTCCATATGGTTCGGAACCACGAAAGGAGGATCGGGGATGATGGTACGAAGTGAGTCGTGGAGTCACATTCGCCCGTATTGGCCTCTACTCGATTCTTATATTGAAAAGCATTCTTGTGATCTCAAAGGCATACAAACAATAATTCAATTCGCTCCAAACTATTATTTAACTAAATTGGTTTAAAATTAATGCACACATAATTCTAAAAATTTGGTGATCACTTTAATTAATAATAAGATTAAAAGGGATTCTAAACCGGTTGTCCAAATTATCTTATTTAGGCGTGATTTTCAATTACATATTCCCTTTAACATGCAATATGGTGATCAAAATAAATAATAGAATAAATATTAATATAAAAACCAATTTAATCATAATTCCAACAACATAAAAATCGTTAGAAAAATAATAAAAAGAGCATGATCCTTACTTTGAATCTGTTTGTTTGCAACTACAAAATAATAAACGAGTTAGTAACTTCAAGGAAATAATAAAACAATAATTAAATTAAATTAAATTAAATAAGGTTGATTTTGGGGCCAAACCCTCAAACGATTCTACCTTTCACGCCTTGGCTTAAGGACAGAACCTCGAGTAAAATATGGACTCCTTTGAGTGCTTGAAGAAGGAATTTTAAAGTAAAAAGGGTAGGCTAGTGTTTAGGTTAATAGCATAGAAGAGAGAAAACAAGAATCACAAAATTCTGGTTGCCCCGTACATCAGAAATGAGGGGGTATTTATAGGGAAAATGTGCTGAGGGGGCACACGGAACCCTAAAATGATAAAAACCCTAAAAAAGTATCCCGTGACACGGTCAGACTGTACCGTCAGACGGTACACTTCCCCGTGACACGATACAGTTTTTGAGTGACGCGGGAAATTTTTAGAAAACGGAATAAAAAACGCGTTAAGGGTTTACGCGGAAAGGACACGAAACGTCCCGTGTCACGGCAGACCTCCCGTGTCACGGGAAATCCCACCGTCAGACGGGAAGGGTTCCCGTGACACGGTCAGACTGTACCGTGACACGGTCACTTCCAGTCCATTTTTCCGTCTAAATTCATTTTTAACCCTAATTTCTTTCGGCTTTTTAAGTGCCGATTGATAATTTCGGGCTTTTTTCTGACTTTTATTATTCGGGCTAAAATAAGAAAATATAAAATAAAAATAAATAAAATGTTTGGGCCAAAAATAAATAATAAAACAATAAAATAAAAAAGGTTTGGGCTAAAAATTAATTAATAAGTTTGGGCTAAAATAAAAACTATGCTTTTACCAAACATCAAGACTAATCCATGGACCTTTCAAAAGTATGAATTTAATAAAATACGATTTTTTAAGCACTCTCGGGATTAGATACTAAACCCGACCAATAGTGGCGGTGAAAGGTTATTTATCATCGGGTTTGGTTTTGGGGAGACATTTTTAGGTGTCTACAATAGATCAGCAAACTAGATGAATTAAGCTTCGATTTGCAAAAAATTTGAGCGGATTTGGTTGAGAAACGAGCAAGAGCGAGTGATTTGAAGTATGAAGCGATTTGTGAGCAAAAAAATAGCAGCAACGGCGAAATGAAGAAGAAAGGAGATTTATTCAAAAATCCTGAGTGCAGCGTCGCACGAAAAGTCTGGCATCGGGCGACAGCAACTTCCAGCAGCCGCTGGTGTGGCGACAGAGTATGAGGCCTCGTAGAACGATTATGTACTGTGGACCTCGTGCAACAATTTTGGGTTCCTTGGTACGCCAATTAGCCCTTCTAAGTAACTTGACATGATTTAGTAATCGACTCGATTACAATCACATTAAGTGATCGACCTGATAAACGATCGTCTCACTTAGCTAAAGCGCCTAGACATTGACTCTTTTTTCAAAGGCACCGACATAATGGTTCATAAACAACAAAGGCACCGACATAATGGTTCATAAATAGTAGAAGCACCGACATAATGGTTCACAAGCAGCAAAAGTGCCGACATACTGGCATAGCAAAAGCAAAGTTCAAGCGAACTTTAAAGGATCGACAAGCGTTGGTTTTCAGTAATTTTCTTTGGAATATTATCGCAACAAATGAGGATGACTTCCAGCGATTTTCGAATTATTTTTTTTGTTTTTTTTTTAATTTTTTTAATTTTATTTTTTAAAAAATATTTTTAGCCAATTAATTTGTGACTCGTGTCACTTTTTTTTTTAAAAAAAAAAAACCCATTCAACCGGTAACCGATATTTGGGATTGAAGAAAAAGAAGACCTCCCAAATTCGAATTTTTTCAGAATAATCCAAAGTAAGGATAATTGTACCAAAATTGATGAAAGTTGGGATTATTTTTTTCTAATTTTTCCTATTTTTAAGAACATGTTTGCTTAAAACTCTTTGGAAAATTTGCTAATTGCAACCATTCAAATTTTGTATATTGCAAATTACAGGCATTTAGGGTCTGAATTGAGTTCGAAATTAGAAAAAAATAACATAACTGCCTCGTATTGCGTGACAAAAATATATCGATTTGTGGGCAACTAATATTTGCTGAAAAAACGTGGCACTTGCGTTAAAATTTTATTTTCCTAATTTCGAGCTCAATTTGGAATCTCAAGGAATAAAATGGCCCCTCAAACCTTAATCGAATATTTTTCGACACGTAAATCGATGAAAAAGTTGAATCGGACTGCAATTTACAATTTATAAGAATTTTTGGGCTGCAATCTGAAATTTTTTGTAAATGACTACAATTCCCAAACTAGTAACTTTTTCGTTTGAACGACCCAAAATAGTAATTTTAAATGGTTGCAATTTCCAAAATTTTCAAACTGTTATAAAGACCGCCCTACCCGGTAATTGAACGATCATATATAGACCCGCCCTGCCTTGTAATTGGACGATCATATAAGGACCTGCCTCATTTATCTATTTTACGGATCTAACCCATTTATAATTGTGGCGGGTCATGGTTTTGAACAAGGCTCGAAGCCTCGAAGGCCTCCAATCCTACCTCTCTCAGTTGTTTTATTGAAGCGCGCACTCAACGTTCTCCATTGAAGCGCAGTTCACGTTCTCCGTTGAGTCTAATTCTTGTATCCTCCATTGAAGCAGCTTCTGAGGTAAGTTGTTTGTTTTTAATATCGTCATATCAATTTCGCAATCTAGGGTTTATATTATCAGTGCTTATTTGATAATCAGTGCTTTAAAGTTAGGGTTTATATTATCAGTTCTTATTTAATTATCAGTGATTTAATTTAATTATCAGTGCTTTAAGTTTAGGGTTTGAAAATCTGAACTATTGGTTAAAATTCTTAGATTATGAAACATCATAACCAAAAGAAAAGAAAATTATAAGCCTTATATGAATCAATTATCCCTAAAATTATTTATTTTTCGAGATAATTGAATATGAAATTAGATCTCTTTCCCTGCCTCAGGGATGGGCCTGCTTGAGCCAAGCACCCCTAATGATTATCAAGCCAATTATAAAAATTGTGACACATTGGTATAAAAGTTAGCACCCAAATAGGGTGTCAATCAGGTTTGCGGTTCAGTTTTGGGTTCAGTTTATCGGTTTCGGTTTGTAATGGGTGGGCTCAAACTGGTTGGAACTTTTATCGGGTTAGTTTTAAATAAATTCGGGTCGGTTTGGTTTGGTTTATTTTTATTACAGTTTTTTGGGTCGGATTCTAGGTTATAATTGGTTCGGTTCATAATCGGTTCGGGTTAAATTCGGTCGGTTTATAAATGGGGTTTGTCGGTTTAAAGCGGGTTTTGGGTCAACACATATCGAGTTCTAATCAGGTCGGATTGTAATCGATTCGGGTCATAATTGGTTCGAGTTGAACTCAGTTTGTTTGACAACTGGTTTTACTAGTTTTAAATGGGTTTCGTTAGCGTATATCTTCTAGTATATCCTTAATATTCTTTAATTAGTTATTCCAGTAGATCATAATGAGTATTAATTAGTTATTTAGCTTTATGTCCCTCTTTTGTATAATGATTTTCAGGATCAAATAATAATAACAAATCTAGAGTTAGCATTTGATTTAGATTTTTAATTTTTTTTCAATACAATATAGTGTTCCATAAGCCATTATTCGTTAGAGGACGATAATATTTTAGCATAAGAGTTTCAATGACATCAGAATTCCAAACCTTTTCAATATAAATCCTTCGTAATTCAATTTAAACCCTTTTGTTTTATTATTGATAAAATATACCCAAAAAAAAAAGGAAAAAAAAACTACAGTCATAACGGGTTACGGACTTACGGATTATAAACGGTTCGATTATGAACGATTACGGATTGTAAACGGTTCGGTCATAACTTATTACGGGTTATAAACGATTCGGTCATAACTTATTACAGGGTTTTAAACGGTTCGATTTTCGTCGGGTTCAAACGGTTTCGGTTTACAATGGGCCGGGTTACTATCGGGTTCGGAAGTAATTTGTTGGGGTTCTTCTCGATTTCGGGTTGTATCAGTTCGGTTTGATAACGGGTACAGTTCTTAAACATTTGGATCGGTTCAGTTTCAGGTTTTAAAAAATCGGGTCGGGTTGGTTTACAGTTTTAAAATAACAGGTTCTTAGCGGTTCGATTCCTTTTCGAAACGATTCAAAACGGTTCGGATTTACCAGTTCGGTCGGTTTTTGACAGCTCTACACCCAAATGACACATTGGTATAAAAGTTAGCACCCAAATGACACATTTGGTATAAAAATTAGTAAGAGGTGATATGGGACCCTTTATTGTTGTTGGAGAAGCGCGTATTGTATAAGTGCTTCATTATTTACTCGTTCTGTCCCATAATATATAGTTCTTGTTTGTGTTTTTTCACGGTATTTAAGAAACGGGAGTGAAAAGCGGATAAAGTACATAAAGTACAATAATAGACAAAAGTTTAGAGAGAGAGTGGAAAAAAGTACAAGACATGTGCAAAATTCAAGGGTGAATTAGGAAGTACAATGAATAAACTTTAAAAAGTGAAGGTATAATTGTCTTTACATACTATCCAAAAATAGAAATAGGAACAACATTTTGGTTATCCAAAATAGGAAAGCTGGAACTATATTATGGGACGGAGGGAGTATTATTTTTACTCTTTTTATTTTTGTTAATACTCATCAAATGCCAAATAGTTCTCTCTTGCATACCCACCTATGTTTATCGACGAATAATACAAATCAACTATTGTAGGATTATTAGCGAAAGATGGCGGAAGACGCTATTTTGCTCTATTTGGAAAAGACCGAAGAAATTTCAGATTCTGGAAAATTTGCCAGTGAATTTGGGATTGATCATGATGAAGTGATCAATGTTACCAAGAGCCTTAATGGCTATGGGCTTGTTCTTGCTCAGGTATTTCTTCTCTCTTTCATGTTTTATTGCTTTCTTTCAACTCTGGAACTGAGTGATTGCTTAGTAAATTACATATTGGGGATTTGTCTATTTTCTTGAAGCTGAATTATGCAGTTTATTTTGATTTGGTTGTACTTGAATTTGTTTTATCAAAGTCCTCTTTTTTCTTGGTGGTTTAGAAAATAAAAAGGGAATGCTATCTCAGAAGGTCTAAATCTGCGTAGTATGCACAGATCTTTTTGCTTAATTAGAGGTGAAGAATGTGTTATGGTTTTTTAATTTCCAAATTTCACAAATTAATAAAAGAAACTGGTGTTAATATGTATTTTGGTTGGATGGGAAATTATTGACAGTGAGGTTTAGCAACTACTATTTTCCTTTGTGGTAGCCATTTTATTTATTAATAATGCAAATGGAGGGTGTAACTTGAGTGCCTATTTGTGAATTTAGTTCAGTTTGTTTAACTTGATGGAATGTAAATGTTAAAATTGTTTGCGCCTTTGCCTATTGATTTAGGCTTTGGGAAAGGTATATCTTGAATTAAATTGGAGTATTCATCGCTAATATGTTTTTTTGAAATTACAGGATATTAGGCCTTTTTTTTTTTGTTGGATTTATGCTTTTATTGCATTTATTATAGTGAATATGTGTGTTTGCCATTATAGGATATTAAGAAGGAAAACTGGGTTCTCACTGAAGAAGGAAAACTTTATGCTGCTGCAGGCTCTCCTGAAATGCAAGTTTTCTCAGCTATACCACCCGAGGGTATTTCGCCTGATGAACTTCAGGTTGGCAGTTTTTGCTTGCTGTATATTTGATTGTTCTTTTTGATAAAGTGAAGGATCTTGATGTGAGTTTTCATGTTGGATGCAGAAAAAGGTGGATCCTTCTGTTTTTAAGATTGGATTTTCTCAGGCTATGAAGAATAAGTGGGTGGAGAGAGGAAAGCAATTGGTATCCAGAAAGGTAAATTTCTTGAAGTTCCATTATTGGAAAGATTTTTATTTATTACTTTCTAAACTATGCTACATTTTGTCTATACTTGTGTGGTACTTCTGAAAATTCGAACTCTATTGTTTTTCTTGTTTTCAATATTTTGTTTGTTTCTTATTCTTTCAACTTTTCTGTTTTCTTTTTAGGAAAATTTAGAAATAATAATCCCAACTTTGCTCCGTTTTGTTTTAATAATCCTAACTTTGGATTATTCTAAAATAATCCCAACTTTGGGGGGTGTTTTGTTTCTTCAATCCCAAACCGGTCAACAAAAGTCAATGACCTGCTATCACAAGTTACGTGACACGTGTCACATTGTGATTGGTCCAAAATAAAAAAAAAATTAAAAAAAAAAGAAAAAAAAAAACTTTTTTAAAAAAATGAAGCCACCATCCAACCCCTCCACCACCGCCCACTGCTCACTGGAATCCCATACCCCAACCGCCTCAATCCCCCTTACCCCACCGGAAAAACCACCTGACCGCACCGGCGAACCTACCCTAACCCTCCAGCCGCGCAACCCCCATTCCCGTAAACCCTCTCTCCTCGAAAAAACCATGGAAATCCTCCCCCGCCGCTCCAAAAGCCCACGAAACCCCTCCCACCATCCTCGAATCACTTGCCCCAGGTGATTCGAGGGTGGTGGGAGGGGTTTCGTGGGCTTTTGGAGCAACTAGGGAGGATTTCCGTGGTTTTTTCGAGGAGAGAGAAGGGGGTTTACGAGAATGGGGGCTGTGGTTCAAGGGGAAGGAGGGGAAGTGGCGATGATGGGACAAAAGGAGGGTGTAGTTGGCAGGCGGGTGGATTTTCCGGTGGGTAAGGGTGGATTGTGGTGGCTGGGTTGAGTTCAACGGTGGGCGGTGGGGCTGGGTGGTCAGGGAAGGGGTTGGGGTTGGAGCTGGGTTTTTTGATTTAATTTAATTAATTTATTTTTTATTTATTTATTTTTTTGAAACATTTTGATTTAAATTTTTTTTTTTTAATTCTTTTGGCTAATTAGAACTCAACACGTGGCATTTATGAAAAAAAAAAAAAGAAAATAACCTTGTTAACAGGTAACCGGTCAAAGGGATTGAAGAAAGTAAATAGCCCCCAAAGTTGGGATTATTTCATAATAATCCAAAGTTAGGATTATTAAAAGAAAATGGAGCAAAGTTGGGATTATTATTTACAAATTTTCCTTCTTTTTATTACATTTTAAACAGTTGCTTTTTTCTTCAAAAAAAACAGTTGCTTTTTATTTTATTTTTATTTTTTATTATTCTATTATTATTTTTTATTTTAATAATAACAATTATATCTAAGTTTCGAAATAATAACATTACCAACATGAACGTCGATATGAAGCCGTTAAATTATTCTCACCCGTTACTATCATCAGTTACATTTACTGAGAAGTCTCGATTAAATTATTTAAAATGGGCAAGATCGAGTTATCTTAGGCTCTTGAAACATATGAAAGGGGTGATTGATTCACAAATCGGTATGAGTTTTAAATCATGGATTTTAAACTTGATTCTTTATTCCAAGTGTAGGGTTTTGTTCAGGAATATGGGTTTGGTATGATACATACGGACATACCCGTCTCCCACCTTAGGTTTTTTAACCCAATACCTTGTGAGCTTGAGGTATAGGTTTAGAAAATGAAATCTTCCTAAACAAACACTATGTATGAGTTTTAGGCTTTTAGCAACTTCATATCCATACCTTATACCTTAGTTGAGTGTACCAAACACCTCGTAATTGTTGTCAGAAAACCAATAAAAATATACATTTGTGTGTTTCGGGCTTGTATTTGCATACATTACGTCTTTCAATTCCTTCATACTTTGAGCTTTGATTTGCAATCTGCTATGATGTGAATTGAAATCGACTAAGACTGACCACACAAGGTGTACTAAGGGCTTGGAAACTGTATATCAGTCGTAGCAAAATTTTGGTCTCTATATTTGAAAGACATGACTCAGCACAGTGCCTTAGAATTCACTTTTTAAAATTTTAAAAAGGTGTGGAGGTGAAACCTGACCATACCTCAATCTTCATAGTTTTTTTGGCTAGTATTTGTGAGTAGGGGACAGGTAAGGGGATCCCCATTTCCCCACCCCTCATTTGCAAAATTCGAACCCCTAAGGTAAGAACGTTATCAAGTGAGCCAAGCCTTGTTTGGTGCTTGATGCTCATTAATTGGGGTCAAATTGTATAAGAAAAGGGTTTTAGGGTTATAATGTTTGTCCTTTCTATCAAATACATTGTACATAGAGGTGATGATTGTTTTGGTAAAAGTGAAGTTCAAATGTAAGCTTATCTATATATGTATATATTTGTGTTTATGCAGCTTGATTTTATGAATAATAATTTAGTTTTCTGTTGCAGGTTCAACATGTTGACGATAAGATCAAGGACTTGCTTACACATATACAAGCTGAGAAGGTGAGACGGTGTCTTTACTCATTTGGTATTTTAAATGCGGACAATATTTATGTGATGAGGTCCCACTCCTCAGGCTTAGGAACTAGTAGCATTTTCCAATGTATTTATCTGAACAGTTAACGATGTTCTCTGATCTGTTTGTTGTTAGAGTATGTGAGTATTGTAATTTTGCTGTAGTGGGTTGCTTCCATGAATTCAAACTTAACTAAATAGTTACTTCGAATCTGGACAAGTTCCCTATGATTCTATAAAAAAGAGTGGATCCTTTGGTTCTGCCTTTATATATTGTTTGGCCGGGGCAGAAAGTGCTCTACTGGTTATGCTGTTCTGTTTTTGATAAACAATTTCTTTGCGGGACTTTTGGTAGTAACCTCTTTACAAGGTTTGGCTGGTTGGGGGTTAGAATTCATATTATTGATCCATCCAGAGTTCCAGACTTCTTGGTGTTTCATAATAGGTTATTGCGATGAAAACTGTAGTTATTTAAAATTAAACAGTTTTAAATTTGTAGGTATGCTTCTTAATTTGCTACTTGTTTGTGTTTTCCTTTGATAATTTGTCTGCCTTATATTAAGGAAATTTTTCTATAGTCTCTTTGTTTAGCTTTAATTGGCGAATTTCTTGTCTGCAGGTGGTTAAGCAAGATGATATTGATGCTCTCAAACGGAGAAAACTGATAAACTTGCAGTAAGGATATCTCATGCTCTCTTATTATACTTTATCTGTTTTCAGCTGACATGTTGGATAATGACTCTATGCTAGTTTCTTATCATGTACTGTTCTTATGCTTATGTCTCCTGCATGCACATTGCCAGCTGTTACACTGCTAACTCATCGTTTGTATTTGCTAGGACATGGAAGGGATATTCGATTCGAAAGGGTCCAAATTATGCCCCAAAAAGGAAAAAAGCAGCAACTGATCTGACTCGAGAGCATTTGCAAAGGTATTTCACTGATGCATATGATTGGGAAAGGGTTTTTTTAGCTTAAGTGCACTATTCAGTTAGCTGCTACGGATGTTCTTTTCCTGGTGCTGTGCTTTTCCTGGTCTAAAAATGTGTCAACTAAGAAGAAGAGAACATAAATTATTTTGTGAAATTAGATATCTAAGCACAAAACCTAATTTCTTCCTCTTGTACTAATTGAGTATTCCCCATTAAGAGAGTGATCAGTGGACATATTCTGAAGCCATTTAACTATTCAAGGACAGCAATAGCTTGCAATCATTTTTATTTTTTGAGACCATGTAATGGGGAAATAAATTTCTACAGCTTGCTTGACCTTTAAGTGAACAAGGTAAGGTTAAATACTTAGGTAGAAATTGATTATAATGGATATTGTTAGCTTACTTAGCCCGACTTGCAATATATAAATACACACGCACACATGTTGGCATTTATTGCATAAGCCTTGTATTGCTCTGATAAATTGATGGTGTTCAAAGTGGTAATCTTTAAGCTTCAGTGATGAATTGGTTTGAAAATCTGTTGGCCTTCAGGCCTTGTTCCATTTGTGAAGTTGTGTCATGTGATCCTTTTCCACAGTTTTCATTGTCGCATACCCTCTCTCCAACTTTGGCATACTTACCAATTAGCCTTTTGTGCCTTGGTGCTCTGTAATGAGTGTAATCTGTACTTGTGTTGCTATGAGCAAACTTTGTGTGACTTGTTGACATTGTGGTGGGAGCTTGGTTTAAGAATTTTTTTTCCTGCTGTTTGACTTTCCTAATGTTGGCATGATATCTCAAGTGGTGCCTGGAAGGATTTGGAACTCAAAGAATACAACTTTAATGCTAAAGGTCTTCCACCTGAAGGTGGTCATTTACATCCCTTACTCAAGGTTAGGGTGCTGGTTCTATTTGCTTAAATTCTCTTTTCCAGGGTTAGTTTTTAAGCATTTCCATTTGGTTGCAGCAATTTGTTATTTAGTTTAATGCAACTTTTTGACTAATTTGAAATTTTGAATTGCATAACTGCATGTTATTGTACTATTGTTATAAATAGTTGCTGATTGTGTGGTTAGAACTTTCAGAAATCTGAAAATAGGATTGTACACCCGGGTCATGGTGCACCCGGTTAAACAGAAAAAAAAGGCGGAAAGAACATACATGTATTTGAAAAAGAAGATATTGTATTTGACAAAGAACATACTTATGTTTGACAAAGAACCTACCCATATATTTTTGATAATGTGTTCTTTTATACTTGTGTTTAACATATGTTGATTAAACATGTTTTTTGGGCTTCAATAATACAAAGTATGTTATTTGAATTAGGCTCGTATGTTCTTTTGAGGTAATGAGTGACCCACAAATTCTACATATGTTTTTTTTTTTATTATATTATCATACATCATATTTTAAATTATGTTTATTATCGTACATTCTTTGAGTTTGATCGGTGTGTTCTTTTGGTATGAACTATATGTTCTTTACATTATAACTTGTGTTCTTTTAACATATGTTATTTTGAATTTTAAAATTTGAAATTTAATTTGAAAATGAAATCTTGAATTATTTTTAGTTGAAAATAATTTTAGTTGAAAATTATTGTGGAAATTTGAATTTTTGGACAGAGAGAAAACTATTTTTATGAAAATGATATGTTTGGTAAAAAAAATTTCCGTTGATGTATAAATTTCCATGAAATTTTGATAAAGTTTTTATCACGTTCTTTTTGTAATGTCTTTATGTTCTTTGGTAATGCATGTTATTTGTCAAACACAAACATGTTATTTGTTCAACACTTGTGTGTTTTTTTCAAACACCTATATGTTCTTTCTGCCTTTTTTTTTGTTTAACTGGGTCTCAATTTTTATTCTCGGAATATCTTTTTATTTTTTTATTTTATTTTACAAATATACATTACAAATATTAATGGTTATGGTTTTACATTGGCAAGCGCAAAAGTGTGAAGTGTTGAGTTCTTGAGTACTTTTAAAAAATGAGGTATATTTTGCCAATTGAACAATATGATAGTAATTTAACAAGAGATGTTAGAAGATAGGATTAATGCAGGGAATTCAATGTAGCAGATGCGCTTTTATTAGGTGAAGGAAAATGCTTACTCGCTAAGTCCGTAAGATTTTACAAGGAACTTTTTTTATTCTTAGTTTTTGCTCAATTTATTTATTTATTTTGTACTTTGCTCAAATCTTAACTCTTGCCTGTCAGATTTCTTTTGTTAATTTCTATTATTTTCCTCATCATCCTGATCTGTCAAATGGTATTTTCATTTTTTGTTATGTCTAACATCATTCAATGTTTCAGGTTCGGAAGCAATTGAAAGAAATATTTCTTCAGATGGGGTATGATTCCATTCGTCTCTCTATTTTATTTCGTTCTATTTCCTTGTTCACGTATTTATTTTTATGAAAGAATTTTCTCTGATCACTATTGATATTTTATTGGCTTTACAAATTTGTCTTGGTCTGGGCGCAGCTTTGAGGAAATGCCAACAAACAATTATGTCGAAAGCAGGTACGTTTGTTCTTTCATGTAAGACTTGTCTATTGTCTACTAGTTTAATACTTTAACTTCCTGATCTATGCTATTAGCCTATTTGTATTTTATAATTTTAATATTGTCATGCAAATACGTACTATTTTGTGCTATGTGTAACAAGTAAAAATTTATTATTTGCTGAATTCAAAGAAAGCCTTAAATTCTGCCATACCTGTTGTCTTATTCCATTTATTTTAATATTAAATGCAAGTTTTGTGTCATATGACCTTTCTGTGTCCTGTCGCTCAGAAAGCTACAAGTTACAGAATTTTTATGCACTCAAGAGGCTAAGTTAAAAGAGTAGTACTCTATGCACAATATTTACTTCCAATGATCACAAATGGTGACTTGCTGTTAATTAACTGTTTTTGTGGCTTTCTTTTATTCTTTTTCCCGACTACACATGTTAAGTGATGTTTTTAATAAGGAAGCAGCCTGTTGGTTTTTCTATCTACTGAATAAACAATAGCAGTGAACTTATTGTCTGGCAATGAACGTATTTTTATTTAATTGGGGACTAATTTGTTGGAACATGTCCTATTTCACTATTTGCACTCGGTCTTGTTAGTAAAATACTTGGAGAAGGATAATTATTGGAGGGATTCCCTTTGCTGCAGTTAAAGGAGTTTTTACATTATTAGCTGTATTCTTTTTTTTTTTTTTCTTCTGGTTGATTGCTGGGAGACTTGGGACATAATGATGGATGTTTACTTGATTTATGTGGTTGTTAGAAGTATGAAATGATTGAAATCCATTCTAATTAGTTTGCGTTCTTGAAATGTTCATGTTTAAGGCCATGGTTTCTATAATTAGAAGTCCATTCTCTTTACTGGAATTCGACATGGGGTTTAGAGGCTATGTTACATCTTACATGGACTCAGCACTTTACTCTTTCGATCCTTTGGAAAATAATGACTGCAATCGATCAATCAAAGCCTTAATCCCCTAAGTGGAGTCTTGTACATGAATCAAAAGTGATTATTCCGTGTAGTCATTGACAAAAATCTTCCTCCTCCATCCTTACAGTCCAATGCCATCCTCATGCAAATTCATATATTTTATATCCTTCCTAACTCCTTCCAACCAAGTCATTTCCGGTCTCCCTCTCCATCGTTTAACCCCTCCACGGTCCCACTCTTCCTCTCTCGTACTGGTGCATCCTTGGGTCTCCGTCTTACATTCCCAAACCAACACATACGATTTTCCCTTAGTTTGTCTGCAATGCCTACCACACCTACTTTCTTGCGAATAACCTCATTTTTAGTTTTATGTCTTAGGGTGTTCCCGCACATCCACCTTTACATGCGCATTTCCGTAACCTGCATCTTTTTAATGTGCTCCTTCTTAGAAGCCCAACATTTTGTACCGTAGAGCAACACTGGTTTTATGGCAGAATTTTCCCTTCAATTGTATGGAAATGCTTCGGTCACATAAAAACTGCATTTGATTTTAAATTTTCTTTGGTTTTTTTTTTTTTTTTTTTTTTTTTTTTTAATTTAGATTTTTTCCTTGTCCCCGTACCCTTGTCCAAAGAACTTTTCACAATATTCGTCAGTAAGATTAACACTTGGCGTCTAAAGGCTCTTATGTATATGAAATTGAACAATCTAATAAATTTCTCCATAATGTAAAGTTTATGAAATATGCTAGTGTGGTATGATTTCTTTATGTGTAATTCGGCTAATTCTTGTTAAGGATGAATGCTTGGTATCTAAAAGGTCATGTAGATGTGCTGTTTGGGGGGGGGGGGGGGGTGTTCACAGCCCTGTTGTTTTTTATTTTATTTTATTTAAAGCAGTCTGTTCACCCATTTAATTTGGCAATCTTTAAAACTAATTGTTTACTACCACTCAACAGCTAAGCATTAGCCATTATGTGGTGCAGGATTTTGTGATTGAGGCTGTTATGTGGGTAGATTCCAAGTTGCATGATAAATTTTTTTTAATTTTTCATAACAATGTGTCAATGTCACATAACAATGTCTCAAGGTTCATGACTTACTTTTTATGTGAGCTGAAAAAAAAAAATCATTCTAATGTATAGCAGACAACATATTTGCACTACCCAATACAGGGATATTTTTAGTTGGACTTGGGAATTTGCATCTTGATGTTTTGCTTGGATTTTTTTATTTATTTATGTTTGATGAATATAATGTTTTTCTTATAGCTTTTGGAATTTTGATGCATTGTTCCAGCCACAACAACACCCAGCTCGTGATTCACATGACACTTTTTTTCTGAAAGGTTTGTTTTAATTTATCATGTTTATTGCATCTTTTAGACATCTATTGTTCCATCTTTTGTATCAATTTTTATGAAATTTATTCTCCAACCATAGGTAAACCTTCACTTTATCTGCAATTTCTCTGTAATATTACCATATAATTTTTTGGGATTTTTCGAAAACTTCCTGGAAAGCTGAGTACATTATACCTGTCCTAGCCCTGATTTGTTGTTTTGTTGGGAATGATTGTTATTGTTGCTATTGCTGTATTATTATAAAACCACTTTAATTGTGTTGTTGTCTGATGTTAATTACATGATGCTCATTTTAGAGATTGTGGATGGTTTCTTGATTTATACTGATGTCCTGATATATTTATTTTATACCACAATTGTTTTTTTGCTTTAAGAGAATGGATAATCTTAAAGATCTTCATTTTTTTAAATGTCCTTGGACAATCTAGGGTTTATAGTTTTTCTACGCTGACCTAGCTATGATGCTTACTTTTACGAGATTGTGCCAACCTAATTTGCAACATTGGTTTTCGTGCTTATTGAATATGTAATTGCTACTCTGCAGAACCGTCCACTACACAATGGCTGCCTGAAGATTATGTTGAGAGGGTAAAGTGTGTTCACGAATCGGGTGGTTATGGTTCCAGAGGGTATACATTCTTCTTCCTTTATATTATTCAATCTCATTCTTCTATCTACTAACATTTTACTTCCTCAGTTTCTTTTTAGCTAACATGTTTCCAAATATCAAATTTACTTAACTTTTGCTCAATGATAATTAAAGATATTTGTATTTAAAAGTGTTCATTGGCAAACATGCCTAAAAAATGTCTGCTAAAATAAAACTAAGGTAGTGTCACTCCCGGGGTGCTGTTTAGTCAATTTTTCCGTTTTTCTAAGTATGTAAATATGAAACATGGAGTTAGCCACTTAAAATAGTTACATGTCCCTAAGTTACCTAGAAACTGTAAGTACTGTTTAATATTTTGTTCTAAAATTGTCCCTTGATTATTCTGAATTATGTTTAATTTAGGTATGGATATTACTGGAAAAGAGAGGAGGCGAACAAAAATCTTTTGCGAACACATACAACTGCTGTTTCTTCAAGAATGCTATATAAACTTGCACAGGTATTTTATGACTGTAATGATTTAATTGCTGTAAGTAATTTGTGGTAGTTGAACCTCTAAGGGCCCTCTCTGTCTCTATTGAGCTGTCATACTTTGTATAGAATAATTGACGTCATTTTGCCATTGCCTTAATTGTTATCTTTCTATTCCGAATTGAATGTCTTCATATTTGATGTTTGGGTGCTGAATAGTGGTTATTTACATATGCACAAAAGAAATATAAACTTTTTTTTTATTTATTTTTTGTTTATTTTTTTTAAAGTCATTCCATTTTGTAAAGTCTAACTTGTATGTAAGTATTCCCTTTGCTTGTAAATTATACTTCCTTTTACTAACAAAAAATCTAGATTTAGTAAGTTGCACTTTAAACTCTCATTATTAATCATCTAAAAAGACATGGATTAGACCTGTTATGTGATTCTAGTTTAGCTCTTGTGGAGTCTTGACCCTTTTAATCAAATGTGGCCTACCAGCTGGATGGCTAATTGAGGCAGTATAACATTTACTTCAAGGGGGTGTTTGGCAAGTGGGAATTGAGGGTGGGATTGGGAATTTTAATCCCAATTGAAAAAATAAGTCTTGTTTGTTTAGTGGGAATGGGAATAAAAAGGGGTTTGGGAATGGGATTATTTATGGGTGAATTCCCACCATTTTATTACCTAGGGAGGGTAGGTAATAAATGGATGGGAATGGGAATAGGGGGAAAATGACATTTTTGCCATTAATGAAAAGAATGAAATAATAATCTTAGTAAAGGGTATTTTTGTAAAATTGTTATTTATTCCCTATATATTCCCAATTTCCCACCCACTATCCAAACAAGGTTTTTTTTCTTTTTTTTTTTTTATATAATTGTTTTCATGCGTATTCATGGATAATCAGCCGAATAGTTGTTTATGGGGGCAGTATACATTACTTCAGAAGAGATGTGAATACCATGCCTTTTTGTTTTCATGTGTGTATTTATGGATAGTTAAATGGATAGATGTTTACATGTTCGTGTAACATATAATAAATCAACCCTAGTCCTTAATAGACCCTTTTGGTCCTCTTATCATTAGTATGGATTTGAGTAGACCAAAAAGAAAATCAATAAATGGATACTTGTTTATATACACTACGAACCAACCTAAGAAACCCTAATTCATTTAGAATTCTAAACTAGATAACATGGCAAATTGGCAAGAAAAGCCAAGGAGCCAAAGACACACCTATCGTATGGCTAATGATGCAAATCAGTCAATCAGATCAACAATTTTAACAATATACAACTCAAGATTCAAGCTAACAACATGGAGGTCCACAAATAACCCTTTATTAAATAAAAATTTAATAAATTAATTGGAATTTGTAACACATTACAAATGCTTGGCAAAAATGTTTAGTAAGTGGTGAAGACATGAAACCATATTATGTTCTACATTGGATATGGAGAGGTCTTTTGCTTTAATACTCCTTTATCCTTTTATATGATCTGTATCTTTATGCTTAATGACTTTGCCAAATTATAGTGTTCAATTAGATTGATGTATCTTTTTTCTGATCATGTCTTTTCTTATGTTTGTAGAAACCATTTGCTCCTCAAAAATACTTTTCAATAGACCGTGTGTTCAGAAATGAAGCTGTTGACAGGACGCACTTGGCAGAATTCCATCAGATAGAAGGTGTGAACTATTTTTATTATTTCTTGGATGGGCAATAGTCCTATTTCTAATTTGGGTACGAGCTTGGCAAAGGTTGGTTGCAAATTTTAATTCTCATGACAGTGTATCCTTTAAGGTCAACAGGGCCAATTTCTTATTGCATGGTGAATTGTTTTAAAATAAATAAAATAATTAAACTTGGGTTACATCTGTGCTAACATTTATTGCTCTCAAGTGTGTGGTTTTGAATAGGTACCTTTGCATTAGCAGCAGATCAAATTTTCTCTGATAAAATAATGAGAATTTGTTGTTTGTTACTCGCCTAATTATGTATTCTCGTTTCAGGCCTTATATGTGATCGTGGTCTCACCGTAGGGGATCTTATTGGCGTACTGCATGACTTTTTTTCACGTCTAGGTAAGATTTATCTTTGTTTATTCAAGTTATTGTCTAGCTCTTGTTAATGTCATGTTACAAGTTATTCTATGGTCTATTTGCCTGAGAGAATCTGAATATTCCTAAAGTGAGAATATAAATCCAACTTATTTCTTGATGCTACTCAGCATTTTTCTTAAAACTCTTTTGATGACTAGAAAACCGAAATTAAGCTTTGGCAGGATGCTACAAAGCATATACATCCTTTTAACTTTTTCTTAAGACTACTATCAGATCTCTGAATCTGGAATATAGCTTTAAAGCAGTACTTTGATTTCAACTTGGATGACTCCCCTGGTGATGTAAAGAAGTGTGTCATGATTTCTGCAGGGATGATGAAACTTCGTTTCAAGCCTGCATACAACCCTTACACTGAACCTAGTATGGAAATATTCAGGTAAGAAAGATTTTTTAAGAACATTAGTGTACAATTCCTGTCATTGTGATTTAAAGAAATTATCTTTTTTCAAAAAAATAAAAATAAAAAAATAAATCATGGGTTCTTTTGCACAAGTATATGTATTATTTTAGAGCAGTGTACTGCTGTGTCGATAATCATATTTGTGGGTAAGCATGATCCTGTTTGGACTGAAAACTGAACCAAACTTGTCCTGTTGGGACCTGTTTTATTTGTTTGCAAATTTGCCAAATTGTCACTTGCATTGTAACCTTTAATCTTTGATTTGCCAGTTATCATGAAGGCTTTGGAAAGTGGGTGGAGATAGGAAATTCGGGTATGTTCAGACCCGAGATGTTGCTTCCTATGGGGCTTCCAGATGATGTCCGTGTAGTTGCATGGGGGTTATCCCTTGAGAGGTGAGCTTAAGTATGGTTTCATTTCTCTAATACTGAATACTGCACTTAAGATATACGAGCTGCAGTTTTGTAAGTGTAGTTTCAAGCAAACTGACCTATGTTTTCTATTTTATAAGAATATATAGTATTGATTTCCTTATATCGTGGCAACTTTAGATGATAGAAAAACTATGTATTCTTATAAGAATATATAGTATTGATTTCCTTATTGTGGCAACTTAAGCTAATAGAAAAACTATGATTTCTTATAAGAATATATAGTATTGATTTCCTTATATTATACTCCCTCCGTCCCCTTTTGATAGTCCCTTATGGGCATTTTTCACGGGAATTAATAAACACAAATAAGAATAGTTAAAGTACATTGAAAAAGTAAGTTGACATTAGGCATGCAAAAAAGTAGAGAGAGAAAGTAATAAAAGTACACGGGAAAACAAAATTTACATGGGAAATTTAAAGTTGCACAAGTATTGCAAATTGGAGGGAATTTTGGTAAAAAATTAATATTAATGGTTGTTGGAAAAAACAAATATGGTGAATATTTTGGGACTAAAATTTGCCCATAAAAGACTATCAAAAGGGGACAGAGGAAGTAGCAAAGAGATGACAAGAACCAACAGAAAAGAAAAGGAGAAAGAGGGAGGGGGGGGGTGTGGAGCGGATTGATATAAGATGAAAAACTTGTCATGGCTTTTGAATAATCCTTGACAATTAATGGCTTTTTTGGAAGCGTAGAAATGAGATCATGTCCTATCTTGAAATGTATGTAATTAAATTTGACATTATATGCGAGCACTGTGAAAAAAGAAACTATTTAGTTATGTAGCTTCATTTTTTTTTTTTTTCCTTTTTCCCTTTGCAGGCCTACGATGATATTATATGGAATTGATAATATACGAGATCTATTCGGGCACAAGGTATGAATATATATATATATATATATATATATATATTTTTTTTTTTTTTCTGTTTTATATTATATTAGAATTCATTATTTGTATTTTGTTATAATACTTTACGTTTCTTGGTTATTAGGTTGATCTGGGATTGATGAAGAAGAATCCCATTTGCAGAATTGGGCTTGAATAGCTTTCAATTTCGAAAGCTAAATGCAAATATTTCATTTGATTTTTATTTTTAGCTTAACTTCTAGCAAAGCTAAATTATATTTTGTGATATCAGTTCCATACCAATTTTATAAATTAATTCTGTTCTTTTTGGGACATTTTCTTAATCGTGTATTTTTTCCGTTATTGTTGATTCCTAACAATTTGTCGTTGTAACTACTCCAATGTCTCCCATTCAAAACTTGTATAACTGTCAAGCTCAGTTATTTTTTTATTTTGGGAAAATTGACATTTACAAAAAAAAAAAAATTAAAAAAAAAATTTGTTTTTTTACCACAAAAAAAAATCTAAAAATTGTTTTTTATCACCAAACGTCGAGATTTTGTTATTTCCCTAAAAAAAAAAACGTCAAGATTTTGTTAAATCTAATGGATTTAAAAAAATTTCTTCGAATTTCGTGTGCAAAACATAGTTTTCATAAAATTAGAGGGGTACTTTGGTCCTATAAACCCAATTTGAGGTTAAAATTGACAAAATATGATCGAAAATGCCTTGTTTTACGAATTTCACGCAAATTGAGGTATTGTTAAACACGCAAAACAAGACATTTTCAACCTTTTTTTGTCAATTTTGACCTCAAATGGGATCCTTGGGGCCAAAATGCCCCCCAAAACCCCTAAAGACCACGTGTGGTACGAAAATCGAAGAATTTAAAAATTTTCGTTATGTTTTTGACAACAGATGGTAAAATGCAATTTTAATTTTTTATTTAGTGGTAAAATAAAAGTTTTAGAAGTTTTGGTGGTAAAAAACTATTTTTTGATTTGTTTTGGTAGTAAAAGTCAAATTTTCCTTTTTTTTGTTGGAATATTCTCTTTGGTACTCACGTGTTTTTTAATTTTCTATTTGGCACTCGTGTTTTTTAAATTTCTCTTTGGTACCCACGTGATTTTTAATTCTCTTCGGTAACAACAAAATTTTCAATGAACTTTGGTATAAGTATGTATTAACAATACCATTTTTTTATGGAAAAAAAAGTATGTATTAACAATACCATTAAGGATATATTTTGGTTAAAATCTATAACTAGGGCTAGGTTTTTTTTTTATTTATTTTTATTATTAGTTTTTTTTTTCAATAATTTTAAATTTTTTTTTATTTAAAAAAATCAGCACCGACTCTTCCGCTACCATGCCGTAGTTCTGAGAACCTAATCTCCCCTGTTCTCTAGCCGCGTCTAGACCGCCTTTCAAGGCTAGCGACTATCCCAGTCACGTCCCCCTCAAACCATAAATCCCCCTTCCCCAATACCCTTCATCCCTCACGAAAACCCCGTAAAACAAGCTATACAGGGTAAGATAGAATAAGGAAATTAGAGGAATTTTTCAAGGTTTTTCAGATTTTGATGATTTTGCAATCTAACTGATGAAATTTGATGATTTTGCAACTTGCAAGTAATAGAGAGAATTAAAGTTGAATTTTTCTAGGTTTTTTTAATAATTCCACGAGATACCTAATCAATAACAAAGGTGCAAGTGAGAAAGAAGAAGAGAGAGAAGGAGGTAAGATAGGCAATGGGGGGTTGTGGGTGGCATCAATGCCGTCGTCGGAAGAGAAGGGGTGGTAGGCTGGTGGGGGTGGGGAGTGGTGAATTTTTTTATTTAAAAGCTTTTAAAAGTAACTAGTGATGAACTCGTGTGCACGCCTCACGCCTGTTTAGTGTGTTACAATAATCATTTTTGTATTCCTATTATGCTTAGTATTTCAATTTCATATAAGAATTGTACTCCGTAGAAAATATTTTAATCATAGTATTAAATAAGTGCTCCGTATTTGAAAAAAACAACTAAAACGAGTACTTTAAAAGTAAAACATAGTAAAAGTCTATCAAAATTAAAAAAATTAACGCATGTTATATTGTGAAAACTTTTTTCATACATTTTTTAAAAATAACGGTTATACTTAAATTTACAATTAGTTCGAAAAAATTAGGGTTGTTTTTTTTCTAAAAAAAAATTAAAGTATTTGGTTTTTGCTGTGAAACAAAGGAGAAATTTCATATGATGAAGGTATATATATATACATATATATATATATATATATATATATATATATATATATATATAGGGGAGGGATCCGGAGAGAATAGGTCTATATGTGAGAATTTATATTTACATGAGAACTAATTTAAAATTTAGAACATGTGAGTAAAAATTTAGAACATGCGAGTTAAAATTTAGAACATGTGACTCAAATTAAAATTTTGAACATATGAATAATAATTTAGAACATTTATGTGAATAATATGTTTATAACATCTGATTTAAGAATTAGAACAAGTGATTAAAAAATTATATTAAAAATTTATAAAATTTGCTTTATGAAATTTTAAATATATGAGTAAAATTTAGACATATGATTTAAGATTATGAACATATGAATAAAAATTTAAAACAAACTGATATAGAATATAGATAGTGTGAGTAAAGGGTTTAGAACATACGAGTAAAAAATAGAACATATGCTTTAAAATTTGGAACATATAATTAAAAATCTTAAAACACACGTTTAAAAATTTAGAACATACAAGTTAAAATTTTGGAACAAGTTATTTAAAATTTATGACATCAAACTTAACTAATTTATGGTTTAGAACATGTGATTACTAAATTAGAACATTTGATTTAATTTACAACACCTAAGGAAAAGTTTAGAGCATGAGATTTAAAATTTAGAACATAAAGAGTGTTCTCGCATAAGGAAATTCTCACATAAGAAAATTTCTCACGAGAATCTATATATAGGGGAGGGATCCAGTGAGAATAGATTCATATGGTGAGAATTCATACTTATATGAGAACTGATCTATAATTTAGAACACGTGAGTAAAAATTTAGAACATACGAGTAAAAATTTAGAACATGCGACTCAATTTTAAATTTAGAACATATGACTAATAATTTAGAACATATGTCTAATAATTTTGAACATGTGTGTGAGCAGTAATTTAGAACATCTGATTCAAGAATTAGAACATGTGAGTAAAAATTTTAAAAATTTGCTTTATGAAATTTAGAACATATGATTGATATTTAAAACATCTGATTTAAAATTTAGAACACTTGAATAAAAAATTTAGAACACTTGGTATAAAATATAGAAAATGGGAGTAAAAATATTGAAAATATAAGTAAAAATATAGAACATGTGAGTAAAAATTGGAACATATGCTTTCGAATTTAGAACATATATACGCACGTTTTAAAATTAAGAACGTATAAGTTAAAATTTCGGAATAAGTCATTCGAAATTAATAACATATAACTTAACTAAATTATTGTTTAGAATATATGAGTACTAATTTAGAACATTTGGGAAAAAGTTTAGAACATCAGATTTAAAATTTATTAACATATAAGTAAAAATTTATAACATAAAAAGTGTTCTCACATAATATATATATATATATATATATATATATATATATGTATGTATGTATGTATGTATGTATGTATGTATGTATGTATGTATGTATGTATGTATGTATGTATGTATGTATGTATGTTTGATAAGCTTGTGCTTGTTCATTATTATTTTTTTTTGTTTTTTTTTTGTGTTTTTTTTTTCGTAGCAACATCTCCAATGGTAAGCTACAAAGGATTGTAGCTTGCTTTGCCATGCCAACTTTTAAAGCTACAATTTTTTTGAGCTACAAAGTACTCCAATGGTAAGCTACAAAAAGTTGTAACTTGATTTGCCACATCAATATTTCAAGCTACAAAGTACTCCAATGGTTGACTATAAAATTTTGTAGCTTGCATGTAATATTTTATTTAATACGTTATATGGGCTGAAAATTTCATTGCTAATTTACTTACTTTTACCAAAAAAAATTCAACAATATAATTTCATAAGTTGTGCCCACTATCAATATTAAAATTTACACCAATAATATAATTTCATATAAGTTGTATTGTATTCATACTATGAGATGACATGCTTGCGATTTGATTATTTGAGCTTATACGAAGTATTAAACATCTTCGTCAATAGTATTGATAACCTTTAATTTCTCCCTAAATTTATTTGCATATTTTGTAATCAGCATTTAACAATACATTAAATAAAACTAATTGTAAATATGAAAGTATTTTAAGATTATGTTTTTATGAAACAATATACTGGAACGATTTCCCAACAAATTGTTTAAATCAAAATTAATTCCTACTTTGCATCATTTTAAAAACTTATTCCCTAGATAGTGTCCACTTAGGATCATGTATTAGCTTTGTTTTTTTTAAAAAAAAAATTTAAAAAATAAATAAATTTATAAAACCACCTTTATCACTTTACTGGTTACCAGTCTTACCACGTTTTCCGACTTTTCCCTTTCCTCCCATTTTCTCTCTCCTCGGTTCTCAACAGAGTTAACAAATGGGCGCCTTCCGTTTAGCTACTTCCTCACTTCCTTTTTTTTTTTTTTTTTTTTTAGATCTTCTCTCTCTTCTTTCTCTTTCATTTACCTCCTTTTTTTTTCTCTCTTTCTTTCTCTTTCTAAGACACCAGTTTCTAATAATTTTGTTTTGATTTTCTGGGTTAATTTCATACAATTATAAATTCAGGGCAATTTATTATAATCTCACTTTTTTTTGGGTAATTTCATAAAATTATGAATTGTGGGTAGTTTTGTTTTGATATAATCTCACCGGGTAATTTCATACAATTATGAATTCCCATGTATTATCTATTTTACTTCATGTTTTAATTTTAGGGGAATATCTGTGCATTCAACCTCAAGAACTAATTTGCAATCGGACCCAGAAAACTCCATCTTCAAAAAAACCTTGCAGAAAGATCCGCCAATAACTATATTGGTTCTTCAAAAATAACTGACTACCAACAAATTACGTTGATTAATACACTACAAAAAAAAAAAGAAAAAAAACACTAAGCTAATACCGATCCTATGTGGACACTAAGCAGAGAATAAGTTTTTAAAATAATGCATTGAAGGAATTAATTTTGGTTTAAACAATTTCTATGGAAATTGTTCCAATATACTGATTGTATTCTTATAATTTATAAACTTATTTATAGATGCATCTATAAATATAACTAAAGTAATTACCGTTGATTTCATTACTTTCTACATGTCAACCTCTTATAAAAAATTCCCGCCAAAACTAATAATGACATCATTATTTTATTTTAAACATACATAAAAATTTGAAAATGGTAAATTAATTA